AGATCAAGATCTTCAGATGATGTGGTGCTGCAGGTTTTTCCGGGTTTTCCTGCAGCTGAAAAAGCAAATGCGCCACTGGAATCAATGAAGTCGCCCCGGAGCGCCAATTAATTTTTATTGTTGTTTTTATTTTATTTTTATCGTTGTTTTAATAAAATTTTCATTCTAACTCATAGTAACATTATCATTACCAGGAGACGTTTTAAGAAACGGTTACTAATATTATTTCATATTGGTATTTCATACCTGCACAAAAAATCTCGGAGCACCAAATCAGGAATATAAAAATCAACACAATAGGCTTCATTTTTGATTCACTTACTTGAGCAGAAAGTAGGAAGTTTCTGGAAAGAATATGATATATACTCGTACCTAATAACCTTTATCGGAAGAATGTTGATTTGTATTATTAACATTTCAAGTTGATAAGAATGATAAGAAATGTTCAACTAAATATGTTTGTCTTCCGTAAAAGTACATTTTTCATCAGATATTTCCCCACTGACTGAAAATATATTATCTTTTATGTATACTGAAATAGAAAACCTACAATATTTTGTAATCAATATCTTCTATTGATAATGAAATACCATATAAACGAAATAATGAAATTGAAGTAATTTCACTTCACTATATTGATTTGGTGAATATTCTATAATGAATCACATTCAGTATTCTTTATCGAGAAAAAAAGTGAGAAATTATTTTAGATTTTTGAAGTATTTTCCAGTTTCCTGTTCTTCGCTTTATATATTTCTTGCATGTGTGCAGTACCAGTATCACAACGATATGAAGTACCCGTCAATGGCTTCTTCGTCATTGTGTGGCGAAACACATATTGTGTTTTTATAAAATTGTTTAGTGAAAATCTTACAATAAAGTGTTTTTTGAATACGTTAGTTATGGATNAATATTAAAACTACATAAACATAAATAATCTAAAAAGTTGTTAACAAAATTTGATATTATATGACAATTGACAGTGTGGCAGTTGAGGTTGGAACAAATATTAGAGGTTAGTAAATTTGGAACCATTTACTGATTAATGGCCAACAATGGGCTTACGATAGAAAACATTCAATGACTTAACTACTATAAACCACTACTGGCCCAATGTTGCCCATTGACAATTTGCCAACACAGGCATTTTCCCATCATAAACTTCAATGGGCCGCACTTTTGCCATCGTTGTATTGTTTGTTGGGTCATAGGTATTGCTGTTATGATTCAGAGTGTCAAAATTATTAATAAATCTGAGGTTTTTTGAATGTATCTGATATATAGGAAGGAGTTTTTTTACCAAATAAGTGAGTTGTTGTTTTTTTAGCAGTTTGTGACTGTAACAAGCGAAATATGAAGTTCTAAGAATTTCATTTTGTCAGTCAATTCCACAGAATGTTCATCAATATGTAAATCGATATTATCTATGGCTCTTCCACGATCTTTGGCTTTTCATAAAATTATTAAAGATGATTTACTAGGATTAAGGTTTAGACTTAAACAGTGTTGCTATGAAATCTGAACAAGATTTTTTATTTCATTATTGAGCGATATTTCGTGATCATTAAATTGATTTACTTTATCGGAGTAGTACAAGTTAGTGTCGTCTGCATATGTATGAATGTTGACTCACTTAAGTACATTGGAGAAGTAGATAATAAAGAGTAGCGATGCAAGAATATAGTTGTAGTTCAGTGAATTTCCTCAGTTCTGAGTTTCTTCATAAAGATTCTCAAAAAGCTAAACGTATCGTAATTGAGAAGCTTATAATTGGGGAAAAAAAATTTTTTCAACAGTTATTTTCATGCTTCCTAGTTGTAGAATTATTTGACACTATCTGATTCTAATAAAAATACTTTTTTACACAAGTCAGAACTGTGTTTCAAAAACCTGGATTCATTCAATGCCAGCCAGTTATTTTCATTCACATATTAGCTCATATCATAGCTTAGAAAAATTCAACTATCGAACTGTTACTTCATTTTGTAAGTATTCAGGTAAACACAAAGGTCACTGTTAGTTCATTCCAATCGATAGGAAATTTGTTATAATCACCCATTCTCATTATGGGCACTATTAAAATAGTTAGTTTTGAAATAATTGCCTCAGAAAAGATAAGAAGGAAATAAACATTCTCGATTATTTTGGATTCCAGAATCAAGAACGCAAATTATTCATATGCGCTACCTTGGATGATTATTTAATATAAGACATGGGCAGAAGAGTCATGGGCCTAAGAAAGAAAATGCGTATTTTTTTTTTTCAAAATTGGCTTAACTGATCAACAGGATCTCCATCAAGAGCCAAACAATCATTCCAGCGTCGCTCTTTCAATACCACTTTTGTAGAACAACTTATCTTTTGCCACAAAATAGGCCTCAGTTTCGCAATAATCTCTTATTCGAGAGATATTTCTTACCGGTAGGCATTATCTGAGGTTTTCGAAACAGCTAGTAGTCGCTGGGAGCCAAATCTGGCGAATACGGTGGATGTGGGAGCAATTCAAAGTTCAATTCTGGTAGTTTTGCCATTGTTTTGATTGACTTGTGACACAGTGCGTTGTTTTGATGAAACATTTTTTATTTGCCATATGCGGTCGTTTCTTTAGTTTCTTAACAATTTCGGCCATCAAACGCTCTAATCACGCTATGGAATGAAATGGAATTTCCCTTTTCGCTTTTCGAAATAGTCGATGAATATTACACCACGCACATCCCAAAATATCGAGGTCATAACCTTTCTAGCCGAGTGTTGTGCTTTCGAGCGCTTTGGACGTGGTTCACCATTTGCTCTCCACTCAGATGACGATCATTTTGATTCCGGAGTGAGGTTTTGGATCCATGATTCATCCATTGTCACATATCGACGGAAAAATTCCGGTTTGTTATGTTTGAACATGGCCAAACACTGCTCAGAATCATAAAGACGTTCTTGTTTTTGGTCAACAGTGAGCTCGCGCGGCACCCACTTCGAACAGAGCTTCCTCATAGTCAAATGCTCATTCAATTCCAGTTCCAATACAAAACGACGTCCGATTAGTCTGCTTTGCTCAACGACTAAGTTGGCTGAACGTGTTGTACTGAAAGGGCTAACAGAAGAAGTTGAAGACCGAAATGTTCTTCCTGAAGAACAATTCGGCTTCACGAAGGCACACCCCACTGATCTGCAGGCCCTGAGACTGGTCAAAAATTCCATATCAGAGCCGAACAACAGGAAGACAGTCCATCTCGTCCTTCTGGATATTTCTAAGGCCTTCGACCGAGTCTGGCACGGAGGCCAACTACATAAACTGCTCGATTTCGATCTGCCTCAGATCATGGCCCGGTGGATTAGGTCATTTCTGAAAGGTAGAATATTTCAGGCTCAAGTTGAAGGAACCCAGTCTCCTGTCAGGGAAATCCAAGCTGGAGTGCCTCAGGAAGCTGTGCTGTTTCCACTACTGCATAACCTTTACATGAGTGACCTTCCGAGGTTCAATCACGTGGAGGTTTCCCTTTACGCCGATGATACGGCTCTCCTCGCTCCTTCCATGGGTCGAGCATTGGCGGTCGTCTACATGCAACGCGCATTGGACGACCTCGAACACTGGTACCTTGAATGGAAGAATCCAGAAAAAACTCAGGCGATAGATTTGGGGAGGCGTAACGNTGAGAAAGCTACTGCGCTAGCGAAACATGTTGTGATTATATTTATTCAAATAAAGTTTGTGGAGATCAAATCGTGAAGTGTAGTTTTTGTTTCTATATCGATAGATTCATGTGCAAGCTTCCATTATGTATACTCCTGCTAGCGTTAATATTGATATCCTGAAAAGTTTCTCTAGAAGAATCTCTATAGCTCAACTTAAAAATGATCCTGATAGCACACTTTTGTATACAAAACATACGAGACACGGTTGAGGATGTGCCCCAGTTGAGGATGCCATATCTAAGATGTGAATTGAAGTTTGCGTAATAGACAATCAATAAAATACTTTGATCACAATGGTGGGAGAGAAACCTTAGAGAATAACAGGCTTTTCTAAGTTTTTCACATACGTTGTCAATATGTGTCCTTCACTGAAGTTTGTCATCAAACACAACACCCAACATTTTTGTTGACTTAGGTTCAATTAGAAAGCAGTTGGGACATTCATTGCTGAATTCAACATGGAACATCACATTGACGCTTCCACAAACATTGAAAAATCAACATTCTCTTGTAGTGAATATTATTGGAGTTTTATCCTAACACCAAACCGTTATTATAACACCTCGACACGTGTTTCGATCACCAAGTGATCATCTTCAAGACGAAGATCAAACTGCTCTTTCCTCTTGAAGATGATCACTTGGTGATTCAAACACGTGTCGAGGTGTTGAAATAACGGTTTGGTGTTGGGAAAACACTTCAGTAACTGGCATACACTCTTCAAAAAAATTCATCAACAGATACTTGTCAAAAAAATCTATTTGGCAAATTCATTCCAGAATGACCCTGAAATATTTAACTCTGCAATATTTCCTATTGTTCAGAGTAAAACACTGAACAATTCAATAACGTATTTTTTTATTGACGTAACTGACAAGAAAAAAACCATGTATATCTAATATACAGCGTGACTCACGGTCGATGGTAGGTTAGACGTTTCTGGAAAACGCAAAGCTTAATTTTTCTGAAAATTTCACCTCTCAGATTTTCTTACGTGTTCTATCGATCTAAAATATTTTCAGCATTGCGGCGTTGCCACTTCCATCAAAAAGTCCTAGCAACTTTATTTTTTTAAATGGAACACCCCGTATATTAATACATTTTTGGAATCGCTCTGGTATTTTAATACTTTTTTGTTGATAATGTCCTATA